CTCCGGGATTACTATGATTCCTTGGATCATCAAGCTTCTTTGGGGAATTCTCACTGATGTTCTCCCTCTCTTCGGTTATCGAAGAAGGCCTTACTTCATTTTAGCCGGTACATAACTCTTCATATTAATGTCATATTCATAACAGCATCATAAGTGGTAATTTAGTTTTAATGAATATTTTCTTGTAGCATGTTGGAAACCTATTTCCTCATCACATCACCATAGATTCTTGAGATTCAAGATTCGTTTTGTTATTTTATGAAATGAGAAGAATCAGTAAAGTAAAAATGCTTACTATTGTCATATGATATGTGATGAAACTGTTGTGTTCTTCTTTTTAACTAGAAAATGTTGATTTCAGGTTTGCTAGGTGTAGTTTCCATGCTTTTGATATCATTGCATGAGAAACTGCATATTGCTTTTGCCTTGGTGGCCTTGACAGCAGGAGGTACTGGGGTAGCAATAGCAGATGTGACTGTTGATGCTTGTGTGGCAGAGAACAGCATCAGTCATCCTTCTCTTGCAGCTGATATGCAGAGTTTGTGTGCCGTGAGCTCTTCCGTTGGTAATTTCATTGGCTTCCTTATTAGCGGTATCCTTGTTCACCTAATTGGACCAAAGGTTAGCTGCTGCTCATCTCCGTTGACAGTTTGTTGCTTTATTTTCATTCCACTCTCTTGAATTCACATGTTGCAAGCGTTTCTTCCTCCTCTCTGGTACTGGTAGGGAGTATTTGGCCTGATGACAATCCCGTTCGCACTTATATTTTTGGTTGGAATTCTGCTTACGGAATCCCACATGCCTAATTTTTCTTATAGACAGGTATTTAGTTCCCATCTCTCGTTTCTGATTTGAACCATAATTGCTTCTTAATTACCCTCATACTGCAAAATGTTCTCTACTTGTCTCAGGTAAAGCAGATGCTCTTTGATGCTGTAAAGTCTATGTGGACAACATTAAAATTCCCATATGTTTGGAGATCAGGCCTATATATGTACATAGCTTTCATGCTGAGCTTGAATATACACGAGGGATTGTTCTATTGGTACACAGACTCAAAGGGAGGTCCCCATTTTTCCCAGGTGTGTTTTTCTGCACTTTCATTATATTTCAACCCCAAAAACCACCTTGTATCCAGTTACCTCAAAACCTATGAACTTAAATTTCTCATACCAACTTGATGCTTTTAAAGGTTGCTTGACAATATCCCAAAGAAATTCGAACCCTGTGTCAGAATGAACATAAATGAATAATCTATATCTTGTTTGCTTTAGTTTGAAGAACTCTGGTATAACACCGTCTACCATTCATATACTGTATGCAGGAAACAGTTGGATATATATCCTCCATAGGTTCCTTAGGCGCCTTCTTAGGAGCAATACTGTACCAGTATGTGCTGAAGGATCATCCCTTCAGGGACCTGCTTTTCTGGGCACAGTTGCTATATGGTTTATCTGGGATGCTTGATTTGGTCTTGGTGTTGAGACTGAACTTAAAATTTGGTATTCCAGATTACTTCTTCATTGTCATTGATGATGGTGTTTCTCAGATGCTCAATAATCTCAAACAGATGCCTTTGCTTGTCCTTAGCTCGAAACTCTGTCCCTCAGGCATTGAAGGCACATTCTTTGCCTTGCTTATGTCGATTGAGAATGTAGGAATTCTCTCATCCTCGTGGGGAGGAGGATTCCTTCTTCACATGCTGAAGGTTACGCGAACAGAGTTTGATAACCTCTGGCTAGCAATATTGATCAGAAACATGTTGAGAGTGTCTCCACTTTGTGTATTATTTTTGGTCCCAAGAGGAAATCCAAACTCTGCTATTCTTCCTACTGAAATGATGGTGAGCAGCAGAGATGAGAATGAATCTCTGGAAAATCAGAGCATTGAACTCGTTTCCCTTGGTAACAATGTTGATGCTAGATAACCTATACAAAAATTATGCATGCATAAACCAAAAATGGGAAATCA